ATTAGTGCTGTCAAACGATTAATCATGATTAATCGCATCCAAAATAAGTTTTTGTTTACATAATGTGTGTGTGTACTGTGTATATTTATTATGCATGTATAAATACACACACATGCATGTATATATTTAAGAAAAAATGTTATGTTTTTATATTAAACATTTATATATAATATAAATTATATGATTATAAATATATACATGTAAAAACATGTAAATATTTTCAAAATATTTTATATATACATAAATATACACAGTACATACACACATATTATGTAAACAAAAACTTATTTTGAATGCGATTAATTATGATTAATCGTTTGACAGCACTATTGACTATGTTTACATGGACAACAGTAATCTAATTATTTATCTTATTCTAAATAAGACAATATTATGATTAAGGTGTTTACATGAGTAAATGTTAGAATATTCCTTTCATGTTCTCGTTTTAAATGCTATAGTACATAGATCGATTAATGGCACACGTCATTACGTCCAACCCAGAATTTCACGTATAAACATACAGTTCGTCTTCGTTATGATGCCATATACAGCTTTGGGTTTCATTTTTAATGACAGTTGACTGTCGCAAAATGCAGTGAAAAGTCCTACGCGATGGTAACAGTGTGATTAGGGTGTTTACATGTCTATACTGCACTTCAATAATGCAATTAAATAGGAATACTCCACATGTCTTAATTAGATTTGTGTTTACTTCGACTATGACTTTAGCCGGATTAAGGTAATCAAAAATCCCTGTTTAGATGGTAGATTAATCGTGTTAAAATCAGAATATTGTTGTCCATGTAAACGTACTCATTGTTATTGTTAACTAAATCTAATGAAATGTTGTAAAATGAAGCAAAGCTGAAATAAAATAAAATATAAATATTAGCTAAGAAACTTAAAATAAATGGAAATTAGAAATGCATTGGCAACTACCTGAAATAAATGACACACACCATTAGTTTTACATAGTTATACACACTAAGCTGACATAGCAAAATTACTGAAACTGAAAACTAAAACGGAAATAGATATAAATTTCAGTTATTAATTATTATTTTTCTTTAATTTTTATTACATTTTTTCATTAAAAATGAAAAAAATAAAAATATGAAAACTGTAAATTTAAAAACAAAAGCTAATTCTAAATTAATAAAATGAATTATTAAAAATATAAAAAATAATTAATAAAACATAATAATTAAATAATACTAATAAGCAGCAAACGCAATTTTACAGTATATTTGTTAAGTGAGTGTTTCACTCAAATGAAAAATTATTAATAGAATTTCCAAAGACGTGAACTCATAAAAGTTTAAGTCAGCATGAAATGTAAAATTACTCTATATTCCAAATTCGTGTGCATTTCTGTTTCTTTTTGCATGTTATATATATATATATAATGTCTATATTTCACTATTATTTACTATCTTTAATTACTAAAATTAAAAAGTCCTTAGCTCAATTTAATAGTCAAAAATCTATAAAAGTAATTTTTTTTACATACTACCTAACAGTACTTATTTTAAACATACTTCATTTTAGAAGTTTTTGAAGTACAAATATACTATTCAGTTTCTGTCCATCTATCTTAGTTCAGAGTTCCACAAACTAGGGTACGTGAGTTGATAAAAAAAAGTTAGTTATTTGCTAAAAAAAAACTTAACTAAAATGATTCCAGCTTTTCAGGGACAAGTTATTGTTTTACAGTAATAGCAATTTAGCATAACAAACCAGTTCCATCTAACCTCACCTATTATTATTATTAATTACAGTTCACTATGTATAAAAGTACCCTTCCACATCCACGTTCTCCTCCTTCATGTGAGCGTCTGGGACCAGCAGCATCAGCACTGAATGATAGCGAACGCTCGGCCCTTCAAAGCGTCTCTTCTTATGAACCTGCTTCTTCTTATCGGCCTCTAAACGCTCGTACTTTTCTGAAAACACACACACTGTAATGTGAACACACTCATAATTAAATACTGGTGTTATTCCTGAAATCTGGAAATCAGCTTTTGTTGTTCCTTTATTAAAAGGGGGCCAGATCCTACTATATTAGGTAATTACAGACCAATTTCAAAGCTCTGTGTTTTATCAAAAATGTTAGAAAGCCTTATTAGTGAACAGTTGACTTGTTATTTGAATGCAAACAAAGTGTTGTCTATTAATCAATCTAGTTTTCATAAAAAACATAGTACTGTAACAGCTGTTTTGAAAGTTTTAAATGATATTGTGGGATCGATTGATAATGGTGATTTTTG